TGGCCTAGTTTTCACAGCTGATATTGAGCTTCTCCAGCGGTTCTTTCCACAGATGTAATCGATCTGATTCCTATGCATACCATCAGGTGAAATCCACGTATAGAACCTGCATTTATGTCTCTTAAAAAATGTATTTGCTATGAATAAGTCATTGATTGTGCAAAATTCGATCATTCTCTCTCCAGCTCCATCTTCCCAGGTAATTGAAGACGCAAAAACCGCGCGACATTCGTTAGGCAGGCCGCTCAGAGAGGGGGTACAGGCGACTGACTAGCTGAAAGCTGGGCAGCTTAGAGGCCAGTCTCAGACCCCGCCCATCTTCCCAGGTAATTGAAGACGCAAAAACCGCGCTACACACCAGTTCTACAGGATGCATCACCTTTGCTCGGGAAACATTACGACTAAACTTCAGAGACATTGATCCCAACATAAGGAACTACCATCAGCTGATGTGTTTGGAATCACAGAAGCCATGGAATCTTCATATGTAAGTTATTAGATGGAGGGCTGGTCAAAGGTAAATAGATGTGAAGGGAGGGGGTAGAAGTGGATGGGTATCCTGGTGGATGGTGGCCTTATATACTGGGGTGAAACTCCAGCTCATTTAACAGTGCACTTGTTAGTATAAAAAGGTAATTTCTACATCTGAAAAGGACAGTTCCCATCTATGCATCAGTAATTCAGGAAGGCCCCAGTTCTCTTCCTGGTAAAGAGGCAGATTAAGATACAGTTTACATATGACTGGAGAACCAGCTTCACCAGCATCTAGGATAGATGCATTTCCTCTTCTGGTAAACAGACAGATCAAACTACTCTACATGACCAAAGACAGGAAACAGAGAATTCAGAGGCCAAGCAAATAGTTTTGCAGGCTGAAGAAAAAGAACTATAGTTTTATAACTGATACCTATACAGAGAATTCTGAATTTAATACCACCCTATCATTCCCCCCCTCTTTTTATGTAAGTCTTAGACCTGTAAGACAAACATACCACCCATCATTCCCCCCTCTTTTTATATACATAAGTCTTATAAGACAAACATACCACCCCATCATCAGTGGTTACAAGACTTTACCAAGCAAATAAACCGGTGTGTGTGAATTAAACTCTGCACCTTTGGATGGGAAAGTGACTATGAACAGCTAAAGAAAGATCCCACATGGAATTGCTTATTAAAGATAACAGAACGCGCAGTGGCCTTTGGACACCACCACCAGGGCACGCGCCCCAGTAGAACGCCCAGGGGCTCCTGCCTCCCTTCGCGTGCTTACGTGCGCTCCGTGACTACCGTGTAGGATACCGGCCGCGGTGGCGGTGCGCTTGCGCTCTGGTGTTCTCGAGCGCGACTTCCCCCTCCCCCCCTTTCGGCGGCCGTGGCGGCGTGGTGAGGCGCATGCGCACACCAGGCAGGCGGTGGTCAGCGGGGAGCGAGTGGAAAGATTCCGGCGAGAAAGTGCGCGGGAGCAGGCCGAGGGGCGTGTGCGCGCAGGCGCGGCCAGGGGGCGGGCTGCGACTCCGGAATCGCGGAGAACCCCA